AGGCTGCAGTCAATCGTCGAGAAGTGCCCAACAAAGGACCTGACCATTCTGATGGGAGATTTCAACGCCAAGGTTGGAACGGACAACACTGGATATGAAGACATCATGGGACGACACGGACTGGGAGAAAGGAACGAAAATGGTGAGAGATTTGCAAATCTATGTGCCTTCAATAAGCTGGTCATAGGCGGCACCATATTCCCACATAAACGCATACACAAAACCACATGGACTTCACCGGATCACACCACACAAAACCAAATCGACCATATTTGCATCAACAAAACGTTCAGGAGGACTATAGAGGACGTGAGAACCAAGAGAGGAGCTGATATAGCATCAGATCATCACTTGCTGGTCGCCAAGATGAAATTGAAACTCAAGAAGCACTGGACAACGGGGGGACAATATCACAAAAGTTCAATACGGCCTTTCTTCAGGATACTAACAAACTCAACAAATTCAAGATAGTCCTCAGCAACAAGTTCCAGGCCTTTCATGATCTACTCAATGGAGAAGGAACTACTGTGGAGAGCAACTGGAAGGGGATCAAAGAGGCAATCACTTCAACATGTCATGAGGTCCTGGGTCACAAGAAGCACCACCACAAGGAATGGATCACTGTTGATACACTGGATAAGATTCAAGAAAGGAGGAACAAGAAGGCAGCAATCAATACCAGTCGAACAAGAGCAGAAAAAGCCAAGGCACAAGCTGAATACACAGAAGTAAACAAACAAGTGAAGAGGAGCATCAGAACCGACAAACGTAAATATGTGGAAGATTTAGCAACGACGGCGGAAAAGGCTGCAAGAGAAGGAAACATGAGACAATTGTATGACACGACAAAGAAACTCTCTGGAAATCGCCGCAAACCAGAACGACCAGTGAAAAGCAAGGAAGGCGAGGTAATCACCAACATTGAAGAGCAACAAAACAGGTGGGTAGAACACTTCAAAGAACTCTTGAATCGACCAGCTCCACTGAACCCACCCAACATCGAAGCAGCACCCACGGACCTCCCAATCAATGTTGGCCCACCAACAATTGAAGAAATCAGCATGGCCATCAGACAAATCAAGAGTGGCAAAGCAGCAGGACCGGACAACATCCAGCAGAGGCACTAAAAGCAGACGTAGCGGCAACTGCAAGGATACTCCACATTCTCTTCAATAAGATTTGGGATGAGGAACAAGTACCAACAGACTGGAAAGAAGGACTTCTGATCAAAATACCGAAGAAAGGCGATCTCAGCAACTGTGATAACTACAGGGGCATCACTCTTCTCTCAATACCGGGAAAAGTCTTCAACAGGGTATTGTTAAACAGGATGAAGGACTGCGTAGACGCCCAACTTCGTGACCAACAGGCAGGATTCCGTAAGGATAGATCGTGTACAGACCAAATCGCAACTCTACGGATCATTGTGGAACAATCAATTGAATGGAATTCATCACTCTACATCAACTTCATTGACTACGAAAAGGCATTTGATAGCGTGGACAGAACAACACTATGGAAACTTCTTCGACACTACGGCGTGCCTCAGAAGATAGTCAATATCATACAGAACTCATATGATGGATTACACTGCAAAATCGTGCATGGAGGACAGTTGACAAAGTCGTTCGAAGTGAAGACCGGTGTTAGGCAAGGTTGCTTACTCTCACCCTTTCTCTTTCTCCTGGTGATCGACTGGATCATGAAGACGTCAACGTCTGAAGGGAAGCACGGGATACAATGGACATCTAGGATGCAGTTGGACGATCTAGACTTCGCAGATGATCTGGCCCTTCTATCCCAAACGCAACAACAAATGCAGGAGAAGACGACCAGTGTAGCAGCAGCCTCAGCAGCAGTAGGTCTCAATATACACAAAGGGAAAAGCAAGGTTCTCCGATACAACACAGCATGCACCAATCCAATCACAATTGAAGGGGAGGCCTTGGAAGATGTAAAAACCTTTACAAATTTGGGCAGCATCATTGATGAACGCAGTGAATCTGATGCAGATATGTGAGGGCGCGGATCGGCAAAGCAAGAGCAGCATGTTTACAACTGAGGAACATCTGGAAGTCAAAACAACTGTCAACCAACACCAAGGTCAGGATTTTTAATACAAATGTCAAGACAGTTCTACTGTATGGGGCAGAAACCTGGAGAACTACGAAAGCCATCATCCAGAAAATACAGGTGTTTATTAACAACTGTCTACGCAAAATACTTCGGATCCGTTGGCCGGACACTATTAGCAACAACCTACTGTGGGAGAGAACAAACCAGATCCCAGCGGAGGAAGAAATCAGGAAGATGCGCAGGAAATGGATAGGACACACATTGAGGAAAACACCCAACTGCAACACAGGACAAGCCCTCACATGGAATCCTCAAGGCCGGAGAGGAAGAGGAAGACCAAAGAACACATTACGCAGGGAAATGGAAATAGACATGAGAAAAATGAACAAGAATTGGATGGAACTAGAAAAGAAGGCAGAGTGGGACAGAGTGGGTTGGAGAATGCTGGTCAGCGGCCTATGCTCCATTGGGAGTAACAGGCGTAAGTAAGTAAGTGCTTCTGTTCAACAAATAAAATAGAATAACATGAAAGGATAGAAGTTATGGATAAAAGACAATACAGGCTGTAGAAAATGTAAAACATTAGACCTATGAGAATATTGAAAAGATTCCGTACAATGACTCTTATTTTACAATAATTTCTCTTTTCATTTAGGGGAATTAGTTGTGTTGTTTATGTTAATGAGTACTGGAACTATGATACGTGTACATATAGGACAAAAAACATGTTGCATTCCACCACTTCATTAATTCAATAACATTAAATTAATTTAAACAATTAGTCATTTTGAAAACAAAAGAAGGGATAAGGAAAAAGCTAGAAAAATCTTGCTGCAATAATAATAATCTCACTTCCTTCCCAATCAATCCTGATAAATATGTCACTAATTTGTCCTCCATTGTATTGTCTGTTCATGAAAAGGAAGCATTGTCCTTGGGTTTAATATTTTCTGTTCCTATAACACAAATCTCTGAATTGACAGTCAATACCCAATTTGAAAACTTCTATGATCAATTGAGTACTTTAACCCCTTCGTCCTTAGAGAATCAAAGTTGGTTTAAAGCCAAACTAGTGGATATAGCGCATCATTTTCATTCTTCTGGACCAAAGCAGAGAAGCATATTAACTTCTCAGCACTTCAAGTCATTAAAAGAATTGCGAAATAATGCCGATATTATTATACTTAAACCCGATAAAGGATCTGGTGTTGTTATTATGAATAAGTCAGATTACAAATATAAAATGGAATCCATTCTCAGTGATAAAAGCACATTTTTGGCTGATGTTGACTTTGATGGATTACGTAAATTAGAAAAGAAAGTGAACTCGAATCTTGTGAAATTGTTAAACATGAATGCTATTAACAAAGATGAGTTTAATTTATTAAAACCTATGGGTTCGGCATATCCTAATTTATATGGATTACCGAAAATTCATAAGCCTAATACCCCCCTACGTCCAATTCTATCTATGTGTCGGTCACCTACACACAACCTGACAAAATGGCTTACAAAATTATTAAACCCTATCAGAAATCAATATTGTAAGTATTCTTTGACTGACTCATTCGAATTAATTAATTACTTAAAGGATATAAATATAAAGACAAAGACAATGTGCTCCTTTGATGTAAACACTTTATTTACAAATTTACCTCTTAGGAAAACCATTGATATTTTGTGTGACTTTATTTCTTCGAAAAACCTTCCACTGCCTTTTCCTGTTAAAACTCTTAAAGATTTATTATTATTATGTACAAATAATGTAAAATTCACATTTGAAGGTGAACACTTCAGACAAATAGATGGTGTAGCTATGGGCAGCCCTCTAGGACCATTGCTAGCTGATGTGTTCATGGGATATGTGGAAAATTTAGTTGGAGACTCAATTCGAAAGATGGTCTGTATAAACGATATGTAGACGACATAATAATCATAGGTGATAAAATTGAAGACATAAGCCACTTGTTAGAAGAATTCAATAGTAGTCAAAACCACATTTCTCTTACATGTGAAGAAGAGAAGAACAACCAACTTCCTTTTCTTGACATCCTGATTACTAGGAGAGATGATGGTTCCATCAAACGTGCTACATATAGAAAACCAACATGGACAGGACAATATCTTAATTTTCATAGTCACTGGCCTATTCATTATAAACGTGGTTTAATAAAGAGCTTATTCAATAGAATGAATCGTATTTGTACTAGTGATACTATTGAAGTAGAGATGAAGCTCTTGACTGATGCGTTAATCAATAATGGTTACCCTTTGAAGTTCATAAACCGCTGGAAGGGTTGCAATATGACTAGACCTATGACGCTTCTGGCACCCAAAAAGCGAGTTTATATTACGCTACCATTCAGAGGTGACACAAATAGTCTCATGTTGAAACAGAGACTCAAATTAGCTATCAACCGGACATTTTATGCAGCCCAACTTGTCATTATCGAAAAGACAAGGTCTATGTTTCACCGAAAGCCCAAACAGCATGAAAACGATTGTGTCTATAAATTTACATGTACGTGTGGAAACACGTACGTAGGGAGGAGTAATCGTGATTTGCAATTAAGGGTGGGTGAACATATACCAAAGTGGTTGCAGAATCAGATGAATTCCAATGGTGAAATAAGATCACAGGATAAACAGACATCATCATCCATTGCGAAACATTTGATTGAGACGGGTCATAAAGTTGATATCAAATCAGCATTTGTTGTGTTGTACAAAAACCTTCAAGGACGTATACTAAGGTTTATTGAAGCCTTGGCTATACGAAAATTGAAACACCCTTTATGTGTTCAAAAACAATTTGTACTGACACTTAACCTACCCTGGTAGTACTGATTTACTATCAAGAGTGGTAATCATACATTTGTTTTTGTGTACTTTAACATTTTTCCTTTTTTATGACTTACCATTAACCTGTCTAGTTGACCTTTTAATTTTTCATATATAAATGTTCTTAACAAGTATATGTGTGATCAGATTGTTCGAAATGTATTGCGCAAATATATCACATAATTCTGATAAACTACGTCTTCTCATTGGATTATCGAAATGAAATTAATTATTAACTATGTTTTTATGATATGTACACTTAGCAGTCCTACACAACATGATATCATATATCTATAAAAATTCAAGAAAATATTTCATCACAAGAAGATTACAGTCAGTGTTGAACGATAATATTTTGAGAATAATCTTCACAACTACAATAATATTACTAATTATAATAATGGTCAAGTTATTGAAGTCTGGATCATATGAAGTTCCTTCAACTAATCTATATCAAAATATGATAAGTGAATCCATAGAAACGTGTGAAGCATTTTTAAAAGACACAGTGAAAAGTCCGTTAACTACCAAACACTTCGAATCTTATTCAACACGCAACGACCGTTATCATCTATGGGATGGTTCGAAGTCTTGTGATAACTTCAAACAACTAATTGAACAACCTGTCTGGTTGAGTGAGGAAGAGAAATCATATCCGATTGCATATTCCCTACTAATTTATGATGATGTTGAATGGACAGCTCGACTACTGCGTTTAATTTATCGTCCGAACAATCTTTATTGTATTCACGTGGACAAGAAATCGCCTGAATGGTTTTATGAGGAAATTGTTAATCTGTCTAGATGTTTCGGTGCTAATGTTCTGGTAGTGAATCGATCTGAGAGCATCCGTGTAGTTTGGGGGCACTATTCAGTAGTGGAGGGATTTCTTGCTTGTTCTGAGTTGTTATTCAACAATCCAACTGTAAAATGGCAATATTTGGTGAACATCAACGGGAAAGAATTACCATTACGAACGAATTGGGAATTAGTAGTTGCACTGAAAGCGTTGAATATGTCCAATATCATTGACTGTGCTAGAAAAAATGCTCCTGAACAAAGAATACCCTCAAAACAACCGAATTTTGTAGTAAGTTTAATGTAAGCATGGAACGCATAAACTTGCAATCATTTATTTCTATTCACTGTATTTAAACTGAAATTTTGATTAGGAAACTAAATAAATTTTGTGTTGGCAAATATGGTCAACGGAGACAAATATTTTTATGATCTCCATTGAAGTTGTACATAGTCTTCGAGAAATATATGTATTTATGGAACATCATGATTATGGAACTTTGTTAGAGTTATTGCAATATATACTACACAGGCTGCCATTAGTCCACCATTCCTAGCAGCTGCATACGAGTGTGAAACAATTTACAAAATATTCTTCAAATACTATTATACTACTCATTTACTTTATAATAGATCATTATTTAATATCAACTGGGTATAAATTGTACATTTTTGTAGATTTCTATAAGTTTAAGCGTATTAAAGTATGGTATAAAATGCACTCCAGGTGGGTTGTTTTTGAAAAATGTTAGGTTTTTACTATTATAGAAAATTCCACGAAGTATTGCTTTGTATGATCTAAAATGAAATGAATAAACTTGTCTATTCAATTCTGTCTTTTTGAGCTTACACTGTTCTATTAGAGTAGTTAGATTAAACAATCGGTTGTTTATGAGAACACATAAACTATATTTTGATAGTATTTTTTTTACTATTATGGATAATATTCTATGTAAAACCTTCTTACTGACATAATTTCTGCAGTGACTTTCATTATAAATTGAAATTTGCAAAGCAAGTGTTGGTCAACAGTTTTCTTTTTAGCTTGTTAACACTGAAGCTCACAATGTTAATTAATGATGCGTTCATCAATACATACTCCTTAGATGTAAATTAAGAAAAAATTCCCCCGTGTAATGATTCGTATTTATTGATGATTTCATGATCTAAATAGGTATTTGTGTTTACCTGTTGTTGATATTAAGGACTGCAATTAACAGCCATATAGATCCAGCTAATAAATTACAAATAATTCAAGATATACTTGCTAGATTCTATTGTAAAACACAAGAAAAATACAACAGTTCCAACATTTGGTGTCAGTATATGACATAGACCAGACTCAGATTAAACAGAGTTTTCATAAAATCATGTAAATACATATGATTTGTGTGATAAATGATTTAATTACAACCATCATTATTTGTTCATGATTAAAATACTCATAAATATGACAATAAGAGAAGGTTACAAAGAAAAAATATTTTGGGCATCAAAATATAAATGCCTAATAAAAAGTGAATGACGCAAATTTCGAAAACTATTCATCAGAAATTCACTTGGTATTATTTGCTTGAGTCTTCCCATTGATGAGTAGGACTGCAATCGATCAGTTTCTTGATGGGATATGTCCATACTCTGCGTATTGCCATGATATTGCCTTAGTTCTCAAACATTATAAGCAAAGATAGATAATGGCTAACAATGGGATTCAGAATGAACATTAACTCTGAGATGCGGGTACATCCCCCTGACGAGTCCTAAATAGAACGAAACGCGCGTTCTGAACTCCACTGCTAGCCACTATCCATCTTTGCATATATTCATCAGAACATTCGTAAAAGTGATTTTTTAATGAAGATAGAATAATATAAAAAACTAAAGATAAAGCCTTGAGTGTGTAAAAATAATGTCATTTCGATATTTCCTAAACATTAGTGATTCACATTTTTGATTAAAGTGACAGATAATGCACCCTATGCAAGTCAAGGATTTAACAGAACCTTATTTAAAAGGGTTGTCATTTTTGTAGAAAATTATCGACTTTTGAATTTATGCTGATGTGTGCTAAACCGTTCTATTTACTTTAGGTGAAGTGGACGAAGGGTAGTTTCCATGCCGCTCTAAGGCGAGACATGGTTGATTACATACTTCATGATAAACGAGCTTTAGAAATAAGAAAGATTTTTAAAGAAGAAGAACATTTACCGAAAATTCCAGATGAATTGTTTTTCAGTACATTGGCATACAATCCACAACTTGAAGCTCCAGGAGCATGTCTCACGTGTCACGTATCGAATGGGAAGGATCCTCGTTCGACATTTGTTGCGCGATATAAAATTTGGTGGCCAGCTTATTGCGCATCGAGACGCATTGTTCGTGGTATTTGTATTTTGGGAATACAACATTTACATAACTTCACACAAAGAACTGAATTCTTCGTAAATAAATTCAATCATGGATTTCACGAATTTGCATATGACTGTTTGGAATATTGGATTTTGAAAAAAATGAAACAGGAACATTTGTCAGGTGAATTGGATACAAAATTTAACACAACATTTTACAGCAGACTATTCTGTTCCAGTGATCACATTTAGCGGAAAGAGTTTATTTAAGAATTATAGTTACTGATTTATTTATGAACGGAGAGTGTTGAATTATCGCGACTATGTAAACTAATCTCTGGTTTTGTAATGGTAATAACTACATAATTTACTGATTAGTCCGATTGTGTACAAAGCTTTTACTTTAGAATCTACAATCAGATCATACCGGGAATTTCAGAGAAGTCATACCTGGTGATAACTTATGTATGTTACCCCTCATGAAGCATAGGCTCTCGACCTAAAATCTCCGAATAACAATTATCTGCGCACACCTTTTCAGTTGCTGATAAGTGCTATTGATTCTTGTGATGCCAGAATCCATTTCACAGAGTAATGTGTGCTATCGTCTGCAAATTTTCCTTTAGCCTTGATGATTCCGAGTTATGACTTACTCCCTGAAACAGTTTGATGATTTCCGTCAGTGTGATCAATTCACCTCCAGTATATTTCTCTGATTTCCCCTTTAGATGAAAGCTGATTTATTTTTTGTCACAGTAGTTAGTCACAGTGTTATTGCTGATGGTACCTAGTCAATGGATATGGATTATCCTACCTATATGACTATTTGTAAACACCTGTGTTTTTGATGATGATTGTGGTAGTTTTCCAAGTGTCATTTCCGTAAAGTATAACTGTCTTAACACTTGTATTGAAAATTCTGACTTTGTGTTGCCTGATTGTTGTTATGAGTTCCAGACATTCTTCAACTGTAGAATCACAGATCTTGATTTGCCGATCCATGCCTTCACATCTGCATCAGTTCCCCCTTGTTCATGAATGATGCTGTCGAGGTACTTGAAGGTTTCAATCACTTCCAGAGCTTCTTCACCAGGTGTGATATATTTGTGTCCACTATGTTGTAGTTCATTATATTGTATTCGTATTGTGCACACTGAGGCCTATTTCTTCAGAAGCTGGTGCTACAATGTCTGTTTTTATCTCTATTTGTTGCTGTATAAGGCGTAGAATGACTAGGTCGTTTGCTAAATTCAAACGGTCTAGCTACATTTAAGCTCTCTAATGTATTCCTTGCCTCTCCTGATCCGTGGAGTTCTTCAAAATTCAATCGACAACCAGAAAATTGTGGAACGGTGAGAGTGACCAGCCTTTTTCCGACTCTGTTCTTCATTTGAAATGCATCTGTGAGCCAACCTACACTCACGAACTTGCATTGCAGCCCGTCTTAACAATTCTGCATGATGGTGACAATCTTCGCAGATACATTGTAATGGTGAGTAAGCTCCCTTAAAGTTCTTCTACCCACACTGTCAAACGCTCCCTGTTAATCAAGGAAGTTGGTGTATAGTGATGAGTTCCTTTTAATGGATTATTCATCATGATTCATAGTTTTGCAATTTGGTCGGTACACGACTGATCTTCACGGAACCTAGCCTGTTGGTCCGGGGGTTGGACTACTACGAAATCTTCCCTTCGGTTCAACAACAATGTTGTAAACTTTGACTGGTAGTGATGGTAATGTGATGCCTCTGTAGTGTTCATACTCGCTTAGATCTTGTAATAAAACATCTTCGAGATAATTACTAAGGTTTCGTGTATCCATCGTCTTGATAACCTTTATCAGATAACTCCCTACAGTGTATAAATTTCAGAAGGCAAGTCAAAGCGTCGACAACAGTTTATTATTGTACAGTGCGAATGATTAAGTTTCAAGCTAACAAAGCGAATTCAAGCAGAAACGCGAATGAGAGCGAGCGAATACAAAAGCGAATTCATAGTCCAGTGAACTGATAAGATTTAAGGTCATGTGTATAGGAAAGAAAATCAATGATCGAAGGATTTAAGCAACTAATACTTCAGCTAGTAAGAGGAATTTTTGTGCAGTCTGTAACACGTGTTCAAGCATACAGACGTAAAAATAATACATAGAGATACACATTGTTACTGTTTTAATGACACTGTCTGTTTTTGGTGGAGTTTTGTTCTCTGAGCTGGATGGTTTGGTCGTGGGGCTTTCATCGTTCTTCTGAACGACATCATCAGCACAAACTTCAGATAGAAGTGAATTGCTAGTATGGGGTTGTGGAGACTATTAAGTTTTAATTGAGATCTTGAACCAATTGATGTTAGACCATCACAATTGAAAACCTGGAAGCACTGGACGGCCGTTTCGTCCTATTGTGGGACTCCTCAGCACTGCGCATCCACGATCCCGCGAGCGGGATTCGAACCCAGGGCCTTCAGTCTCGCGCGCGAACGCTTAACCAACTGGACCACTGAGCCGGCATCCAATGGTGATAGTTTCTAACATCAACCAATCCACGAAATTGCGCGTGAATTGTTCGAATTTCTCCATATGTGTTTCACAGCTTGTTCTGTGCACCTCGATGTTGATTGGTTCTTATTGACCTTAAATTTGTCATTGTTTACTCCTTTGTTTTGGTTGTGTCTCCCATTGGTTTGATTTTTGTTCCTATATTTATGCATGATTTTCCTGATTGGTTGATAAATTGGGTTGATTTCAATGTGCTTGTTGATTGCTGATTGACCTGAGTGCCAGGCTTCTAAATTTTTAGAACAAAACTCCACCAAAATCACCCACCTGAGCTACAAATCTTCTCCACCAGACAATGTCTGTTAATAAGTTAATTGAAGGGGTTGATAAAATTAGGCGTAAACAAAATGTGACATAATAATCCCCCCTGCAAACAAAGATATATAAAAAAATATCCGTGTTTGTAAAAACAATGTTAAACTGCACAGAATAACTATGATACACAGAAAATATTGAATTATATAAAGTTATGATGTACGATTAAGCTACTGTGTAAGCTAATATCTGTCATGTATGTCTGAGCTCGTGTATAACCGTGAGGCCAGATAAAATAGTGATAAATTATCAAAAGGATACAGCATCTTTTTTAAAAGGTTATAAATATCACCAAGTTATTGGAATTACATAAATTTGTAAATTGCTTACCATTTTCTCTCCCTACTTTCAGTCCAATGTCACATTATAACATCTTATTCGGTGTTGTCCATCTTGATCTCGTCGTTCACACCTCCCATCAGGATGGTATGGTCTTTTCGTGGCCAGTTCTCTGCGATATACTGTAGTCTCTCATAAAACTTATTTGTATTGTCTTCACACTTACCATTGATGGGCGCATAGCACTGGACAACATTCATTGTAATCTCCTACATTGCTTTCAAGGATGCTGTGATGATGGATCTGTGAGATTTCTATCCTACGAATGCCTTTTGTGCTTGTTCAGAGAGTATGAGTGTCACTCTTTGTGTGTGTGAGGTATTTTCTTTTTCGTGGTGCAAATGTAATAACAGCTTTGTCGAATTTGGTCTTTTCCGTCCTGATTGTGTCCAGTGAGCCTGACTTATTCTGGGTGCCAAATTATGTGTTATAATATAAGGGGGTTTGAACTGTGCTATCTACTAAAAATGAAAATGTAAAATATCCAATCGTTTACATGACGATCAATTTGATTACATAGTAATGTAACACGTGTTCCACCTGTGACCATTTGACAGCGATTCTCTTTCAAACTGGATAGTTTATTCATGATCGGTTTACCATTTTTTAAGAAGAATCTTGGTATCTAAATTTGTCTCAAATAGATCTCAGTTTTATCCTGTTTACAATGTATACGGATTTTGACAGATCGTAACACTGCTGATAGTGACTGCTTCAAAGTTTCAATTATTACCAATACTTTTTTGAAATTAAAGTCTAAACCTTTCTTTTCCCTACATATGTCTAATATGTTACTTTAAATTTTAAGAAGCCGAGTTTATATAAAGATATGTTTTCAAGATACTTTTTTTAAAAAATAATTGCTTATATTTGTTAACTTTCAACACATTTGAGTTTCTAGCTTCTCAAAATGAATGATTTTGTATCAATGGCTTGATATTCTTTGTCACGAAAGTGATCTGTAAACACTTAATAGGTTATCCTTCATCTTATTGACTTAAGGATTGAAGGTATATCTCACTATGTCTATAAACTATCAAGTTACCTAAATGTTAGCTTCTAAATATTCTCTGATATCAATATTTAACATTTCATGTACACAGTTCTCCAAATATTCCACTATATCCGAAGATGTGTTGTAATAGTCAATAATGAGTAGTCGATTTACTTTAACTGATGAATTATATCTCATAGCATAGATTGTGGTCGCCATTCAGTTCGGATTCATCAAAGTATCTTCCGATTTTAATAGCAAGTTATGATTTCATATGATGAAAAAAGTCTGTTTATGAAATTTTTGAGATCGATATGGGACTTAATTATGAGATTGATGAGGAACTTTCGATACAATCATCTAACATCTATCATATACTTTAAGGTCTGATGATACGTGCCTTCATTCTATTGAATACGATTTGTACTCAGCTGTATTTCTTTTTTGTTAAGTTATTGATACTTGGATAAAAAAGCAACTTTTGAGTGTGCTTTACCTTTCAGGTTAATTGTATCTATTCTGGTGATTAACGCGTTGCCTAATGTGTGAATGTTCAAAACATTCTGTCCATGTCATAAATCCACAAATTGTTGGATATATATATCAGTAAACAGTAATTTGTGCTGGGTACATTACAGTGTCCCAGCAAACACTATCACCATAACAGAAGTCCATCAGGCAAATATACTCATAAAAGCATTAGTCATGTAATTTAAAAACTAAGGTAGTTAATTGTATCGATGTTGTTCTCAGAAGATTATTGATCTAATGAGATTCAAATAAGATAGATCCTAGAGATAAACACACATTTTTCAAAGATTTAATAATTATTCTAATATATTTTTATGTTCATTTATTGTCCACTGCTGAAATGAACTTCTTATCCTGCCTAAAGTAAAACGGTTCCTGTTACACATGCCGTTTACACCATTAATCATCTACTAATTTAAATTGTCAGTAAAGATTTATTAGAAATAATCCTTTCTTAGAAGTATTCAACTTTCGTTTTGATTGTCCTGTATTTTCATAGTTTGACAGTAACTTTATAATCTGATTACATTTGTGTTTGAAAAGTGTACTTTACTTTACTCAACACATAGCCTAGTATTAAATAATAGTTGTTTGAGTTTCCCAATGAAATTACCTCAGTTGGTTCCTTTCAAATCAACTAGGCAC